CCATTGGCAAGGGCACCACCTATTGTCGAGATCCCATTCATGTTCCTGTGTCCACCAGCAGACACCACCTTTCATCACAGCTTAATGATTCGGGTGACGTTTTCTCTTTGCCTCAAAAAATGCATTTCTTACTAGACTTCAGTTGTTAGCTATAGTGTTCGATCATTTCTGTAAGTTAGGACAAGGTGAAATATGGCACTTCTCACATTTAAAAAGGAAGAAGGCTTTTCAGAATCCCAAGAGTGCAAAAAGGGAGAAAACACCCAGCTTTAAGCAGAGGAGCCCAGAGTTGGCCCAGCACACCAAGGAAATAAAAGCACAACCAAAGCAGGAGCTGTTGGATCAGCACAGACTGTTGCAGCAAGAAGTCAAGCTGTGTGTCCACATTGGGCACTGCAAAAAAACTCTGTCCTTCCTCCAGAGAGGGCAAGTCCAGGATCAACTCCCACTTTAAAACGCTGCAGCTTGAGGGACTATTCTCCAAGATGGATCTTGCTGCCAGGAAAAGGAGTCTGTAAGTAATGACCAAAACCCAATCAGACATTCACTGAGGCTGTGACTATGGCTCAGAATCAGCTGTTAGAGCTAAGCTAGCATCTACCAAGTTTTCGTGTTTCCAAATCCAGCTTTTTGTTGTTCTCTTCAGTTTATTAGGGCTTTCTATGCAAATGCACAAAGCTGGCTGTACCAAGGCTATAAGACAACAAAGTCATAGGACTGACTCTGCAGGAGTTAACTCAGTCAAAGTCAGTTTTCTCCACCTTAGGTAATAAAATATGCAGGACTCGAGCCAGCACTTTGCTTTCAGGTGTCTTCCCATTCTTCCAGAAGCATGATATAGCAATATCTGCACAAAAGGGCCCTGGGAAAAGCCAGGCTTATGAGCTCTGAACTCATGATTATACAGCTATTGTTTTCCTCAGGATTTGTCCAACGATTACCTGTGACCAAAGTGTTCTCATCAGATGAGGTCTAACCAGAACACCATCCTCCTAATAACGCATCTGTGTAGCGCTCAGACCTGCCCCTCTCCTTTGACTTAGGCCACCGCCTTCGTCTCTCACAAAACAGTCCCATCTCTTCAAGGCAATAAATAAATAAGTAATCCTAATACCACAACCCTTATTTTCAGTAATGTGAGCATTCAGCTCCCACTCACATCACTTAAAATCAGGCCACAAATCTGTTCCTTTCTGTGCCTGCAGATGGTTGCTTTCTCTCTCCACAGATGGCATCCTGAAGTTGGGACAAGTGGCTTCCATGCAGAACTCCAAGTCTATTATTTGACAAAATCTGATAAAAGCCAAAATGTGTTCTTCCAAGGAAAGACAGAAGGCTATGCTTGTGGTAAAAATCCTTTATTAAACTAGATTTTGTAAATTCATTTTCACATTAGAAATTCTAAATGCAATTATAAAATTGTGTTTCAGTAAAAAAAATGACAGTTGTAGTTAACAGCAAAATTACAACTTTATACAAATAAAAAAAAATTTAATTTCAATTTAAAAATAGACATTGATTTCTTCCAATGTACTGGTCCTGAACGCTTTGACACCTGGTAGCTACCAGAACACTCGGTCTTTTCACATGCACATTCACATAGAGTCATGTAGTACACAGCATACTTCCTGTAGTTGAAGTAGCATTCAAATAGCATTACCAGTTGGGTTTTCACTGTTTTGTTTGTGGGTTGTTTTTTTTTTTTAATTAAAAATATTTAAAAAAACAAAAAAAAAACCCTAATTTTGATACACAGGCATTGTGGTAACAAACATTCCTTTTTCAGTGTTCATACTCTATCCTCTTCCTCGCTCTGTGAAGAGGGCAGTACTACTCTGTAAACGTGAAGTGCATTTGAAGACATGACCATGAGCAACATAAAGTCCATGTATGATTTATCACAGTACATTTATGATGATCTGCCATTGCTATCATCAATAAAAACTGTCCTCTTCTTTACCAGACTTATTTTGTGGCAAGATGAAGTAACGATTTGGTTACTCTTCATCTGCTCATGTACTTGTTTAGAATACACATTCTGCTAAACATGTGAAGATCTTTCTGACACTCTACGCACAACCAACCAGGTTAAAGTAGGGCATCTGCATTGCTTTGATGAAGACTCCCAAGTCACAATGGCTCCCAACAGCCACAAAAAATGCCAGTTACATTTTGCCTGAGGTGTTCCTCAGCAGGCCTATAAAAAACACTAAGTTTAAACAAGATTATACCACATGATTAAAAACAAAACCCAAGTTAATCCACGCATTATCAAGGTATTGTTTAAAAATTACTTCTGCCCCATTGCTTTCATGACCAATAGAAATGCATTTCCAAACACTTGCACCACTTTGGAGAACAACTAATCACCATTGCACTTAGGAACTTTTTATTCCTTCCTTTCTTCCTTCTTTTCTTTCTTTACTGTAGGGCTACACAACACTGCTACAGTTGACTGTTGAATTGAATTTTGCATGAACAATTTGAGAATCTTCCTACATTAAAAACTGAAGTAAACATTAAAATGTTTCATAGAAGAAGAAACCAGAAGTCACATAAGGGGTGAGCAGCCTTGCAACCACATGCTGCTGAACAGATTAAGAAGTGGCACACAATACAGGCATTTGAAAAGTCACACGTTTCAGAGTGCTGGTGGCCATACGACTAAGTGCTACTTGGATTAAAAACATCAGATGCAGAATTTTCACAATATGCCTCATGACTCACACTGATGCAACTGCAAAAGACATCAAATGTAGTTTTCAAACAGTTCTATTTTAAATAATTCATCTCTCTATAAAATACTTACCCTATTATAAAAACAATTGAAGAATCACAAGAATTCCGGTGTGTTTTTCTGTATAGTTTGGCAAGAATTAAGAAACTTCATGCTTTCAAATAACAGAACCCTACTTTCTCTCTCTGCACTGATTTTCTGCTCCACTCCATATCCCGCTCAGTAAAGCTTCTAAGCACACACTTAAACTCCTACAGGTGAAAACAGCTGAGCTCATCATCTTCTCTCTGAATTGGAAGGGCAATGCCTCAAGTCAAGCTGCTGAAGCTGACAGAGGTTTTGTCTACAATTTCAATAAAAGCAAGACAGCTTCTGCCCATTACAATATTAAACTGTAACTTTCATCCAAATTCAGCCCGCAATCAACAAATTATAATCAGGCAAACAACCAGCTTGTAGGAAGGTATGGTATCCAAAGTACCTCAGTGAGCCCAGGCCTGTACCCAAAGACACAAGGGACAGAGAAAGTATTCCAACTGCTCCAGCTCTGCACTTCTCCACTGACTAACAGATGGGAGAAAAGCTCTTCTAGTAGGGCATGGAGCTGAGGTCTTGCCCTGAACATTTTTAGCCTTATTTGGTTAAACACAAAGAGAGAAAATAATGAGAGGGAGAGACACTGAAAATCTGTGGGTGCAGCTTCCATAGACTGTTTTTGCACTTTTTTCTTTTTTCCTTTTTAATTTTAACCTCTTTCACATCCTTGATCTTATTTATTTTTCTAATCTTACAGCAGCAGGTTCAAGAAAGGCTCAGAAAGTGGCACTTCAGGAGGATGCCAAGCCCACCAGGTCGGGCATTTTCTGGAGAAGTGAGAGCTGGGTGCAGTCACTGCTCCTCACTCGGCCAGCAGAAGGAGAGAAGCTGTGCTTCTCACCTCCAGGGTAAGTGTATCGACAACTAGGCTAAGATGAACAGATGGATGAGGCAACAACTCCTGCTCATCTTCTGAACTGAAATCTAAGCTGTCTTTGTCCATGTCAGAAAGGTGTGAATATGCTGAGCCAATCAGGGCCCTTCCCAACACAACCAGAAGTGCAGGCATTTCTCTGGGTACAAGCTCACTTGCCTTACAACTTTGGCACCCAGCTGCTCAACACTGACTTTTCCAAGTATAAACTGAGACTTTGCTGGGCAACTCTGCCAACCAAGCCAACCATCAGGGACTATGCTGCAAGGAAGTGCCCCAAAGAGCCACATCTCCATTCAGTATAAAAAGCAGCAGTAAGGAAAATTTGCTCAAAAACAGAAGGAACTTCCTTTGTGCAAAAGAATGATCCTAGCTCCATTTAGGCATCTCAGATGTCTACAGCCCCAGGGCCTGAAAGAACGTCAGTCTTTCATTCTAGGCAGTCACAGAAGATGGAGCACAGGCTTCACCCCACCGGTGCAGTAGCATAAACAACCCTGCTAGTGCTACTTGGGGAGCCCAAATGTTTTGTATTTCAAACACTGCTTAACAGTGTAGTTCAACAAGGAGAAAAAGGGACATGAATCAATAAAGTACCTCCCAAAAATATAAACCTTATTACTTAAAACAATTATTCCAGTAAGAGTCTGTTTGATTAAATATTATTCAAGCTATTCTTGCATTTAAAATCACCAAAAAAGATTACTGTATCTGTTAAAGCATGACAAACTCATTTTTTGATCTATCATACACTGCATTCACTGTGTATCTATTACAGTAAATACAGCAGTAAATGCAGTAAATTTCATGTCTTTCCATTTGTCTGTGACACATTTGCAATGTAACCTATTTCTGTGCACAGCTTTTCTCACAGAAGTTCCTTGCTTACACTGCCCATGCACACAAATGGCAGAACTTGTACACACATATGGATTCACACAGAAACTCCCTGTGTGTGAAGTTCCTGGATAAGATTTACTGAGAAAGTATTTTAAAAATGAAAAACTCTCCTATTAATCCTTAACCTATGAATACTATTCCTAACACACAACTCCTATCCGTTCTTAGAAACAAAGCATTACATTAGGAAACAAAAAAAAAATAAAAGCAAACAAAAAAAAACAACTGGTTTAATGAATTCATGAATTCCTAAGGCCTTCAGGAAGCAAAGGCGTACAATGTAATTCATTGTAGAAGGTGAAATGAAAAAGGGTTCTGATTGCTTACTGAAAATCCATGCCAAAGTACAGGTGTTTCTATTTATTGAGTCTTTCAGACTTTGTTTCTTTTCTGTTTTTGTTTTGTTTTTTTTTGTGGCTCGGTTTGGTGTTTCTGTTTTTAAAACATAGATACATTCAGATACAAAACCACCATGAACAGAGTACCTTCCATATCTTCTTCAAGATGGGCAATTAATACTGTAATATTCACATTCAATTTGATGTTAAAAATACATTTAAATGTCTCAAAGATAAACAGATTTTCTACAAGGAAATTACCAAAGTTACTATGCACAGAATGAAGACATCACTATTAAATACCTGTAAAATGAAGCAGTACTCATCTCATGCCATTCACAAAGTCATACAAGGTATACTCTTCATTCAATAGTTTTTGTGGGTTTGATTTTTTTTGTTTAATGAGCGCATTTCCCATTAGTTGTGTGTAAGTAGATGTTTTATTTTCTCCTTTAACAGACTGCTAAATCTATAAAAAATTACCTAACACACGGCTGGTCTTAACATCCAGTCCTTCCATTTGTTTCAAGAGTAACTAGGAATAGAATAAGAACAACAGAACTGGTTGAGTTGTCACAAAATGACCACTAAAAAGAACACCTCTGACTCTTGAAGAAATCTGGAAGTACTTTAACATTCAGTGGCAATGGGATTTGAAATAGCAATAGTTGCTGAGTTCCCACCTCTCCTCTGCCGTTCAGAAGGACTGAGCACAAAGCTCTGAATCACAAAATAGCTGTACAGGGTTCTACATTCCAAAAACACTGGAATCACTGAAATTTAAATAAGTCAAGTGAGTTATGGACTGAGTAAGATGAGAAGACTGCTGTATCTAAAAACTGTACCTCAACTGCCCTTGAACACATTATAAAATTCTCATCAGAATTCTTAATCTGCATTACTAAGACTTCAAATCCTGGATTTTTTCTTTTGTAAATTAAAAAAAAAAAATTATCCCACAAGAAAATGTTCTTAGAAACATATTGACAAGACCATGTGCTGCAAATTGAGACCCCTTCTAATAAATACCATCCTTTAAAACAGATTAGAAAATATTATTGCAGTTGTTCAAAAAGTTTTTAGCTGTAATCCAACATCTCATTTTTTAATGTTCCTCTTCTCGTTAACTCTTCAATTCAGCATGACTTTCAGGCAGCCTGGCTTTATTTCTGCAAACCTGTGAAATAAGAGAAGATGAAATTTCAACATGAAAGCGACATTCAGTGTCATATTTCCAAGCCACCACCAAACACACGGAAAGCATTAATGTTCTCAGTCAAGTAAGTGTGCATGCCAGAGTCAGATCACCAACACATCCTCTGGATGTGACAGTAAAGGTGGATTTTGTAGGGTCTGGAGAGGCAAAAAAACAAAACCCAAAAAGAAAAGGTTGCCCAGTATTCTTGGTTACATTCATTCTGCCTCTCTTTTCAGATGTTTTTTTCAAACTACATTTTCTCTCCTGTATTCTGTAGAAAGTGAGAGGGAAATGGGAAGAAGTCTCTGCTCTGAATCCCACCTTCACAGTCACCTTCATTTATGCTCCCATAAAGAAGAGGTAGCAAACACATTGATGCCAACACCAGATTTGCTAAATTGCTGTCCCATATAAGAAGTTGAGAGCTGAAGCACACATTGGAGACCAATAAAAAAGATTATTAACTCTTCACATTAAAAAGCTGGTGACCTTAAATGGAAAGAGGCAATTAAGCTACGTTTAGATAACTTTAACTCATAGTGTTTTCACTTATGTCAGATGAAAGGATCTCAGATTTAATAGGTATCCATTATTTCAGTTTTGAATCATAAAATTGTACAGGTCTTATGAAACAGCAGATGGGCATCAATCAATGTAGTAGCCTCGCAGTATGATAGAACAGACCAATTTTCACTCAGTTAAATGCAGGATAAGAAAAAAAACCAAGTCCCACCAACAAAAATGTAAACTCACCTGAAGTTGTGGCTTGTGAGGTATCTGATAGCTGCTGGTTTGATGCGAGCAACTCCTCCCTGACTATGGCTTCCTCTTCCAGTGATAACACAGAGATAAGGCTTACCACCAGACTGTTGGTACTCTGTAACAGCAGGCACAGTAACAGTTAAAATTTATTCTCTGCAGAGACCTGGCATCCAGCACAACCTTCTCACCTCCATTTTTCTGAAAACTTTCACCAGTGATTTAGAACTTTGTTTTCTCATGCTGGCCAATGAACCTTTCATATAAAAGTAATTTCCCTTCTTCTGAAAAAGATACTCAGAAAACAAAACAAACAAACAAAAAAATCCAGCAAAACTTTTTAAGTCTAGACTGCTTGTAATATGTAATGTGATCATCAGGAAATCCTTCAAAATTCCACAGCAGCTCTACTGGTTTTATCATCCATTCTTTACTTGGGATTTTTACCCTTTGGGAATATAATTAATTTAAAAAGAAGGGTGTTAGATACTTATTTTTTAAGTGACAATAACGTGAATAAAGAAATTACATGTTAATGGATATATGAAGGAAGAAAATGGAAAACAAATCCACGCAGTTTTTTGACAATTAAGTCACACTGTAATTTCTGCTACATTGCAGCACATGATTTCATAGGTCAGCACACAGCCCTTGTTAGGTGTTATTCATATCCTACAGATAACATCAGCCCAAATTGATAGAAAAGCCCAAATTGATAGAAAAGATTACAAATTTGTAAAAGATTAAATAAAATATAAATGAAGTTGTATTGTCACAACCACCAAGATTTGTCAGTTAAAGATGATCACAGGATATTTTTCCTAAACTTTTCTCTCTCACTTTCTGTATTAGTTTGCAGTTCATTGTGTCATCACTAAGTACCCTGTATTGATCCTTCTTCTACGTATGTAAGCAAACATGATTTTTTTTCAATAACGAGGTGAATGGAGTGAACAAGGAGCTCCTCCCACCATTCCTAAACTCCTGATGTCAGTGTAACTTCAGGAAATTAAACTGATAGATCAGACTGTAGCTTAAAGCAAACAAATGTTCTCCTAAAAGAAGACAACGTAATTTGATTAGCTCTGACTGAACATCTGACTCCCTGTTGAACACTTAGTTTTTTGTTTCTACTGTGTGCAGTAGCTATCATTAAAAAGTTTTGAGCACTGGTGACTTGCACAAGAAATAGTTCATACAAAAACACTCCCAATGCACTTAAATTTGGGGTCGGCCTCTTCTCTCGTGTCATTAGTGATAGGACCAGGGGGAATGGCTTCAAGCTACGGCAGGGGAGATTCAGGCTGGACATTAGGAAGTATTACTTTTCAGAAAGGGTGGTCAGGCACTGGAACGGACTGCCCAGGGAGGTGGTGGAGTCACCGACCCTGGGGGTGTTCAAGGAAAGACTGGATGTTGTATTGAGGGACATGGTTTAGTAGGAGCTATTGGGAATAGGTGAACGGTTGGACTGGATGATCTTTTAGGTCTTTTCCAACCTTGGTGATTCTATGATTCTATGATTCTAAATTTATAGGATAAACTAATAATGCAGAAAATGTCCTTTTACAGCAAGAACACTCAGCAAGTACGTCTCTTCATTGGGAGACAAAACAAGCCCTCAAGCAAAACTGCACATGGCATTTATGGAAGCAGCATTATCTCAAGATCCTGCTGACAGATTTTTACAACGCTTATCAAAAGATAGCTTAAACTACACACCTTCATGTGAAAGTTGAAGACAATATCATCATGGTGCTTAGAACTGCAGTGATTTTTTTTTTTTTTTTTTTTAAGAGTTTAAAAAAAGCAATAAGGTTCCAAACAAAGCAATGCAAGTATGACACAAACATTTGCATTATCATCTCTGTTAAAAACTCCATAAGGGATAGATCAAATCTTCGACAGATCGAGTCTTCAATAAAAAAAAACAACTGAGGATAAAACAGAAGCAAACAAACAAGTACAAAAGCATTAGGATAAAAAAAGGATAGCACCACTGAGCAAAAATAACCATTACCTTGCCAAGGAAAACAACTTCCATGGGGAAATTCTGAAAATAAAACTACACAAAAGGCAGCTGCTTTCACGTGTTGCAGAATTACTGGACTCTCTGCTATTGCTGTATATAGTGGTTTCTTAGTAGAGACCATGGAGAATAATTTTTAGGAGACAAGAATTATTAGCTTTTGCCTACCGTTGCTTTTTTCCTGCAGCACTCTGGACAACTGATTCACAGCTTCATCCACATGGAGACCATGCAGATCCAACACATTCAGAGGCAGCAAGGAAGTATTTACTCTTTCAAAGATTCGCGCAGCAGCAGCATGGTTGGCTTCTTTCATCTTCTGCTCATGAAGGCGACCCTTTATTCAAACGTAATGGAATATTACAGTCTGAGACACGATTTAAGCTCTACACCGGTTGCTGAGTTCAAAATGACAGTCCTGACAGGGTGCTTTTAATCTCACAGTTTGAGGTATTGATGTTTATAAGCACAACACAATTCCTAGAAGAAGCTCAGTGAAATCTACCCACAAGGAGATTTCATGAAATTTGTTTGCAGGAAACTGCTCAAAGCTGGCAAAAAGAAGAAACCATAAACAAAAGCTTCATGAGAAAGGGAAAAAGCTAGAGAAGGCACAAGAACATAAAACCCTTACATGAGCTAAGACGTTACTCTTCGTGCCAACTGTCAGATTTATTACCCTAATAACTTTACCTTTTTAACTGCATTTTACTTTTTGAAAGTATTCAACAAAAACTTATGAAATGGTACCAAAGAAACTGCCTAATTGCCCAGGAAAACCCTGCTGAGTTATATGAAATACATTTTATATATTTTAGGTTAGTTCTTCTGAATGCATTTCTAAAAATCAGACTAACCAAGAAGTGCAAAAGCTTGACACGTTGACTACTGTAATTCCTAATATTTTTGACATCTCTTATGACTAATGATATCAGTACAGCCTTAATTGGAACTAAGGGCAAGGAGTGTACAGAACTGTTAACACTACGCTGTGAACAAGTACCATCTGTTTCCCAAAAACATTGCAGTGATCACATCTGAGAGACTAAAGTTAACGCATTATGTCTTTGACAATCTTTAAGCACAACCTGAAATGAAATGAAAGACTTAACTCCAGGTACTGGACTGACAAGGGCTCAAGAGAACTGAAGTGACAGTCTGCCTTAGACTTTCTTAAAATGGATCAGCTGAAGTACATTAGTGTCAGACCAGAGATAACAGCCCTGTAATTCTCACTTTCAGAGAACTACCAGAACAGGACAAGGCCACCAGGTGTAAGTATTTTTTCATGAATAAAGGTACTTTGGCTTGCCTTCTTATTACCTAAAAGAAAATACATTATAGATTTCCAGACTGTATTCATAATTATATTTAAGAAAAAAAACAAAGGGAAGACTTTAAATCACACAGAGTGCTCCAAAAGTTATACCTCCTATCTGTTCCCGTAGAAACTACAACAGATACAAAGAACACAATAATACTGTTTAATAGAAAAAATCCTCAGCTACAGAACACTACTTTTCAACACAGTCACCACCATTAGCTACACATTTTTGCCAGCTGTGAGCAAACGTCTGCATGCCGCGCTTGCAAAAATCCACATGGTTGTCCAGAATGTGGCTTGCCCTTCACATTGCCACTGCTGAAGAGCACCACCCACTGCTTCACTGTGTTCACATCCACTGTCTGGTCTCCATTAAAGCAAGCTCAGCAAGTGTTGATGAATGTCAATGAGTGCAATTTTTCCCACTTGGAAAAATTCAAAGACACCTTTGCTTCACGTGCACCTCCATGTCAGAGGCCCTTTTGTCAGACTGCCTCTCTGCTGCCATCTGTTGCACAGCATCAAAATGTAACAATATTGGTGAGAAGGTTCAGCCTCTACTGCCATACCACCAACATCTATCAGCCTCTGATACTGTGAGCCAACACAATAAAATAGGAGGCATTGCTTTTGGAGCAGTCCTAGTCATATATGCTGAGAATTGTGGTTGAATCAAGACTGGATTGCCTGTGCTCCACAGCAAGAGTTTACAAGACTGATCAGCAGAAGATCTACGTTCTGGAAAACAGATGAATGGCAAAAAGCATGGCATACCACACCACATTATCCTGATAGAAAAACAGCTTGTACTCATACAGACATACAAAATCAGGACACAAAGACAGCTGACAGTAATCTTCCAAAGACCTATGAAGGACTAAATAAGCAGAATGCTGAGGCAAAAGTTCACATGTTAATAATTGTTTGATTCCTAATAAATACAAGAGACCTGTGTAGAAACAGTTCCTCACCAGTTAAGAGGAGCTCCAAGGACACACAGAGGATTCAACAGCTAATGCTTATTGCACTCTACGTCATGTATTAGTGAACCTGGAAAGACCACTCTGACACAAATCTTGGTGCTTATGAGCATGCAGATGAGAGAGTGCACTCTGGGATGTGTAGCATACCTAAGCACTTGCATGTGATCTTTCACGAAGTTTCACACTGAATTTGGCTACATCAGTTTCATGTGTCAGCATCATTACTAACAAATGCAAGTTTAAGCATAAGGTGATTCTCAAAATACTGAACAAATCTATCAACTGCAGTAGGCCCAACTTTGTTATCACTTCCAATCTAGTATTTACTTATGTCTCTACACACAGAAAGAAAGCACTATATTTAAGTTTACCTGACGTGCATAAAATGCTGCCACAGGCTTCATTCCCATGTGATAGGCCTCCCCAGCCTTTTTCAAACACTCCTGCCTCTTTTGCTGGTGATGAAAAGCTTCTGCTCTAAAGTCATCATACTGTGGATACTCATATTCTTGAAATATTTCACTCAAAACATCATCCTCTTCCTTAGCTTTTCTTGCCTGTAAAAATTTGCAATGTTGAAACTAAGAATGTTTTCCAAGGTGTTTTTACTGACATGGCTTCGGATACACTTGTAACTACTATTTGAAATAATAATAATAATAATAATAATGATACCACCTTCTCCCGATTCTTTGCAGCACTGTATGAAGAAGCAATTTCATTTCGCTGAACACTTTCTTGAGCTATAACTGTTTTTACAGGATCTGCCTCCAGAACACAGTTCAGAAATTGTTCGGTCTGCTCCAAAGAATAGCTGTAAATGATAAGTAAAATCCGTGACTTTCCAAAGATATTATTAGCTGGTACTTCTATTAAAATACATATTACAGACCTTCATAGTGTTACAGATACAAATGCCTATGAATATAAAGCACTAGAATAGAATTTTCCAGCTTATTACAAAAAGACTTTGTCAACTTTGTCAAACGTACTGCATTACTGACATCAATGCACAAGCAGTCTTACTCAGCCCAGAAGTAATTGAGGGGCACTCAAACACAAAAAGGACAATTAAATAGTAAAGTAAATTGCATCATATCTTCATAAAACACAGACATCCATTTAGAAATAAATGCTGCTGTCTGGGCTGCATAAGTTACTTTATCTTAAAATCTCCTCTGGACTGTGTTAAATAGTACAAACTACCTTAAAACTAGCTCAGTTTTCTGAAACTTATGCAGGAAAATCCTCGTATTTCCAGTCAACTTTTTATTTAGAAACTTAACACAGTAAGAATAGAAGATCAGCAGCCATTACATTTCTAGTAAGCCCTTTTTCTTCTTAATACTTCTCTTGCTGTTCAGTAAGCAGACAAGAGGAACATTGGTCAGAACTAGATTTCAGGAAAAACAATACTATGAAAAAGAATTTCATATGTGAAAAACAAGAGAAATATTTAAGCTGTAGAGGTGGATAAACAATTTATTTTAAATTTTTCACAAAGAAAAGTTTTGATAATAACCTGGACAAGCGGAAAGACTGGTAAATAGCTATGCAAATCTGTGTGGAGAAACAGACATTCAACTGGCCAAGGACGAAAAAGGCAAGTTTCTCATGAAAAGAAGTTCAGCTCACAGAGACTTTAAGAAGGTTGCCACATACAACAGAAATACAATGCAGAAAAGAGAAGCAGAACACAAGCAAGAAGAAACAAAGAGGGCTGATTCCTTCATTGCTGCTATAACAACAAGGAAACTACTAGCAGCTAACATCAGGCAATAGCAGCTTCTCTCTTGGTCTGAGTGCTATCTGCTGTGCACCCACTGTTACATTCTTCAGCAATTTATCCCACTTAATTTACACCTCAACCCTAGAGCAAATACACAGTTCCACTAACTGCAGTCAACAGCCAGATATGTACTTCTCCTGCAGAGTGAAGCTGTCTATTCTTCAAATGAAGAATCAAGTGTAACATAATTTCAGTATTCTTTTTTTAAGACCAGTTACTTTTGCCATAGTTAAATCTACAAAAATCATGAAATGCCAGTAAAAAAAAAAAAAAAAAAAAAAAGAATTAATTTAAGTAATACCAAATAGTAGTTTTACAAAGAACTATAAAGACTTCTTACTTATTGTCCTTGAAGATATCCATTAAGAAATTTTGATTAATGGTTGGAAACATCTCAAAAAGTTGCTTCTCCTTCAGTTTAGCAGCACAATCTTTTCTAGCCACAGAAGGAACACGTTTCTATCCAGAAGACAAAGGAATAATATTCAAGCTCACGATTAGAACAAAATACAGTAACAGTGGAACCAACTATACTGCTATTTGTTAGGATTTCAAACAAAATATTCACTCAGTAGTTACATACCCACAGCAAATAACACATCATTATCAGCCTGCCACACTGATTTGATAAGAAAAAAGGACAAGTGAGTTGTACTGCACACCACTGCAGTTCTCTGCAGTCATTTGAAGTGACTCAATTGGAGCTGGCTCATAACTTGGAAGATGTAAAAGGGCTACCTTTAGAAGGATTTTCAGTTTAGGAATGCACCTGATGCTAGCCTAATCGGTTCAAATTAAACTTTTAGGAAGTTCACCTCTACTCAGGTATCTGCAGAAAGTGATACTGAGAGGTTGGGATTGAAGCCATGTTTTCTTATCAAGCAGAGGAAACAATGCTGTTCTAGTGTAAAATATCTGAAGTTATAGTGTATTAAATACATCTGTAAAGTTGCATGGAGAATAATCATACATACACATATAATTACAGTAATTATAGCCCAATATAAATTGATTGTTCTGATCATCCCAATACTCAGACTACAGAAAAAAAAAGTTGTCAAAAAAAAAAAGCCAAGCTCCATGAATCCAAACCTGTGGACATCACATTACTATTATCAGTAAGCCACATGCATGCAATTTAAAAAAAGAATCCACAAGCCATTCTTTCAAACTACAGGCTAATAACATCCAAATTTCTTTAGTGATAGGAAAACATTCTCTTTTTCTAGGACAGCCGTGTATCAGAGACAACTACCAACAGAGCTGTCTGTTCTGAACTGCCCCACAGAAGAGGGCAGTGTTATGCATACACAAACAAGGCAGCGTATGGGAACTGTGTGGAAAATGCAAAGCAAAAATCTCTGCAAATACTTATTATTATTTTCTGTTATTTTCTGACAAGTCAGTACAGAAAATCACTTGAGATTATCCTCAAATGCTTTAAAATATAAGTCTAATTTGTTAGGAATGTTGTGGGCTTAGAAAAAATATTAACAAATTCAATTTCTAAATAAACTATGCAAGAAGCTAAATAAGAAATTGCTGATATTTCTTTCCTATTAAAAAGCACAGGAAGTCACACCAGTCACCTCACTCTTTTTAAATGAGCCATGAAAAAAACAATTCAATCAAATGCAAATGCTAACCTGTATAGTAAAAAGTACCGTGATCCGTTTGTGAAACAGTCAGGATGTCACATTTTAAAAAGGAATTAAAAAAAAAAATAAATCAACAAACATCCACTACAAGCAAATGTCTGTATCACTGCAGTTGATAACACTAATTTATTTCTCAAATTCTGGCTGTAATAAGCAGCACAAAGGTGAGTCACTACATAAGACATTCCATTTTACTAATGGTAATGAATCATGTAATCTGTATAAAAACTGTCATATTCATACCAGGTCCTCTTTCTCCTGCATAGCTATTTCTTCAGATATTATTTGTCTGAGAGAAACTTTCTGAGTTCGAGCATTCCAGTGATCCATAAAAGGAAAAACTTCTGATGTTGCTGCTTTTTTAATCTGTGTTTCGTTAGATGAACTTGAAACCCAGTTCATTCCTTTCTTCTGCATTTTATTCTCTGCATTTTGAGATAACAGCATTTTTGAGTCATTCATATTTATCTGCTGAATCAATGTAGAACCTTCAAAAGCAGTAAAAATGAGGTGACAAGTAAAACAATTAGTTTATTTACACAAGCAAAGTCAAAATAATTAAGATGCTTTCCAGCCTAGATAGAATCATAGAACCACAGAATTGATCAGGTTGGAAAAGACCTTTAAGATCAACTCCAACTTCAACCTAACCATACTACCCTAACAACCCACCACTAAATCGTATTCCTGAGCACCACATCTAAACAGTTTTTAAACACATCCAGGGATGGTGACTCAACCACCTCCCTGGGGAGCCTATTCCAGCTCTTAACAATCCTTTTCCTGGTAGCCAACCTAAACCTCCCCCTGCACAGCTTGAGGCCATTTCCCCTCATCCCATCACCTGTCACCAGTGAGAAGAGACCAACCCTGCTTTCACTGCAAGAAACCTTTCAGACATTGGAAGAGAGCAATAACATCTCCCCTCAGCCTTCTCTTCCCCAGACTAAATAGCCCCAGTTCCTTCAGCAGCTCCTTGTATGGCACACTCTCCAAGCCCTTCACAAGACTTGTTGCCCCTTTTTTTGACCTGCTCCAGCTCCTCAGTGTCCTTTCTGTACTGAGGTGCCCAAAACCGAACTGAACAGTACTTGAGGTGAAGCCTCACCAGTGCCGAATACAGAGGCAAGATTACTTCCCTAATCCTGCTCACCACAACGTTTCTGATGCAAGCCAGGATGCCATTGGCCTTCTTGGCCACCTGGGCACACTGCTGGCTCATATTCAGCCAACTGTCCATCAGCACACCAAACTCCCTATCCATCAGGCAGCTTTCCAGCCACTCCTCCCCAAGCCTGTAGGGTTGCCTGGGGTTGTTGTGATCAAAATACCCAACACTTTACCCTATTGAAACTCATACAGTAGGCCTCTGCGCATCAATCTAGTCTATCCAGGTACCTCTGTAGTGCCTTACTATCCTCCAGCAGATCAACACTCCCTCCCAACTTGGGGCTGTCTGCGAACTTACTGAGGGTGCACTCAATCCCTTCATTAAGATAACTGATAAAGATTGTTAAACAGGAGTAGCCCCAGTACTGAGCCCTGGGGGACACCACTGATGACTGGCTGCCAACTGGATTTAATTCCATTGACTACAACTCTTTGGGCCCAGATTTCTAGCATTTCACCCAGCAGAGTGTATGCTCATCTAATCCACGGGCAACCAGCTTCTCCATGAGAATGTTGTGGGGTACAGTGTCAAAGCCTTTAATGAAGTCCAGGTAGACCACATTGACAGCATTACCTTCATCCACTAAGTGGGTTGCCTTGTCTTAGAATGACATCGAGTTTGTCAAGCAGGATCTACCATTCATGAACCCATGCTGACTGGGCCTGATCCCCTAGTTGACCTTTAATTGATCTCTGATGGCTCTCAAGACTATCCATTCCATAACTTTCCCTGGCACCGATGTGAGACTGATAGGTCTGTAGCTACGGGGATCATCTTCCCAGACCTTTCTAAAGCTGGGCGTCACATCTGCCAGTCTCCAGTCCACTGGGACACCCCTTGTTAGCCAGGACTGTTGAAGGATGATGGAGCGTGGCTTGGCAACCACATCTGCCAACTCCCTCAGCACTCTAGAGTGCAATCCATCTGGCCTCACACACACTTGTGAGTGTCCAGCTTTTGAAGCAGATCCCAAACCATTTCCTCATGGATTATGCAGGATCTATTCTGCTCCCCATCACTATCTTCCAGCACAAGGTGTTGTGTGCCCAGAGAACAACTAGTCTTACTATTAAAGACTGAGGCAAAGAAGGCATTAAGTACCTCAGCCTTACCCTGATCCTTGGTCACTGTGTTCCCCTCTATGTCCAACAAGGGATGGAGATTCTCCGTAGCCCTCCTCTTCCCATTAATGTATTTACAGAAATATTTATTGTTGTCTTTCACCTCAGTGGCCAAGTTCAGTTCTAGTTGGGCTTCGGCCTTGCCAATTTTCTCCCTGCACAGCTTCACCGCATATTTGTAATCCTCATAAGTTGCTTGCCTCCTCTTCCAAAGAACATAAATACTTTTGGTGATTGTTAAAAAAGGATATTATTATTGTAGAAAACAACCTGATCATCTTCACCTACTTCCTAAAAGAAAAGCCACCATATTCCCCAGATTCATCAAATTTTCAATGTACCTTGCACATACATGAGGATATGCTTTTACAAGATAATTATTGACTTATGTATTTATACACTTACAATGATTAACATAATGACAGATGCCTTCTAGGAAGCTAACAACACTGGCCATTCAAGTGGGGATTTTGTGCCCACACTGCAATCCAAGTCTCTACCCCAATTGTATGTAAGAGGGCTGAGATGTAGACAAACATTTTTTCCTAGGAAGCTGAGTGACTGGAAACTAGATTTACAGATTTTAACACTACCTGAACAATGACATGCATCTTCCTGCAATAAACAAGTAATCTGAAAAGGACAACAGTGTGTGCATGTTGTAGTTTCGACCTCCTTCCCTCATCAGCTGCAGAAATATTCCTCTGCTAGCAACTATCTGGCTGCATCTTTTCTTCCCACAGAGATAAGAGATGTCCTATCAAATAGCTGTTTAATCTAGTCAGAGCTTCTCTAAATTCTTGCCAGTACACAAAATTATTTGTTTTTCCCTTTATCTACCTAGGATTGGTGATGCTGCATACAATTAACATTTTTTCTACAATTCTGCAAAATAGTGGTAAATGAGAGTCAAGGCCAATAAATTAAAACTTAGCTTAATAACCTGTCCATCATTCTTTAACAATGAAAGTATTTGAAATCCTACTGAAATTTAAAATAATTAAAGGGACTTCTAATGTTGATTTTTATTTTTTGTTTGTTTTTTTACAACGAATATCTAGCATACCTTCTGCAGACAACTTCCATGATTCATCTCTCCTCTGACGCTTCTAAATGAAAACAGTAAAAACTTGACTGTTAATAAGCTAATAAGTTAATAACATAGAAATTCACATTGGAACTATGCAAGTTTCTAGGCAAATCAGCCGTAAAATAATGTTTCACAGTATTTCTCAAAGATTAAATATTTTAAAAGAAATGCATTTAAGAAAAATATTTTAAAAGTGAAATTTAAAAGATAAAGATATTTGCAAAAGCACAAGCTTTAGAAACATTCCCCACCACTAGCATTTCATAACTGTGTTGTCCCAATGTGTAACCAAATAAACCAAACAAAAGCATGTCTGAACAGAAATCCAAGTTTCATGCGTTTATGTTGAAATGGAGATTACTGAACTCTTCAACCAACATACACATAGATGTTTTCTACTGACAAAAATTCATAAAATAACTTTTCCTAGATGTCAAAATGTCATAAATGACTTTTTTGCTATCGTACATTCTATCAACCTTGTAATGTGATTTCATACTATGGCCCTTCGTTTTCAAGGCTCCTGTTACACGATGACACACTGGTAACTTGTAGTCCACCCCTTCAATTGTCTTTCTACAGCTCTGCCCATTACAACATATCCACCTACTCCACACAGTTCACAAAATACAACTGTATTTTATCACTGATCTCACAACGATATTTAAATCTTACACACACCTTTAGGTTAAGACATACAGACGAATGGTCTGAAACAGCATGTCACATCAAAATAAATCTACCTACCAGAATAGATTCTTTCCATTTTTCATGAATCACTTTTGCCAAATTCAGATCAATATGAACTACACAATCCTCAGCAGTTAGTGATCCTTGTGGAAGAAAGAAAGTACATCCATCAGAGCATTCTACAAAATCCTGTCCAAGCACAGAAGGTACAGTGGCCTAGTACTTATTAAACTGAATTCTGGAGGTTTTGCACAAATTGTCATTAAAAACAGCAACAACAAAAAAAAACACCTTCAGTAACTACACTAAGTTTCAAAAGCCGAGGTTTGTCACACAGAAAAAGTTTGCACTCACTGACTTTCATTGATACTTGCTGAACGTTTATCAAAGCATATATATATATATATAAGATTTATATATTTAATATATATTATTATATAATTATATTATATATATATATAATTATATATAATATTATATAATATATATATTATATATATAATAAATATTATTATATTATAAATATTTATTTATTTATTTATTTATTGAGTGAGTGAGTGAGTATGCAAGGCAGAAGCAGCCAAACACACCAATAAGTCAGGTATCTAGAGTTTCACATCACGTAAACTTTAGGATAAAGGGAAAAAAAAGGGAAAGAAAATTATTTTATATCCCTTGTTTCTATTCCTTCCCTTTTCTATTAGTCTATGATTTTTGTATTTCAATGCATGTTCAAACTGCTTATGGCTTTCTTCACCATAATAAATCAAACTTTTTTTTTCCTCCTGTTTTATTTTCATTTAAACATAGACTTAACTTTCTCTTTAAGCTATTCACATTCACCACTTTAGCTGATACCTAAAGTCTTTTTCCCCTTCTTTATTTTTTCAAACCAGTATTCATGTGCATCTTCCTCACCATCTCAATATTCCTCAAAGGCCTGTGGCTCAAAAGGCAAATAAGCCAACTTATTTTCTTATGCTTTTAAAGTATGTGTATTAAAAGACACAATTAGAATGTAACACTATTGGATTCATGTTTTACGTCATGCTTGGCTCAGTTTCATTTTCAGGTCAACAAAAGCGAATGAGTATCATGAAGAATTGTGCAAATACATTCTAAAACAATCAAGTGCAATGGAAAAAAAAGCACAATGGAAATACGGAAATAATTACGCCCATACCTGCATCAATGCCAACAGGCCCAAATATTTCTTTCAACTGGAGAGCCAGTTCAGGAGGTAACGTTAGTTCTAGGCTATCTATATCAAAGGCCGCAGATGATACTGGTGAAGGGCTTTGTGTCTTGGCCTTATCTTCATTCCTGCTCAAAGTTCCACTTTCTTCTTTACCACTGATCTCCCTGGAACTCCTCAGATTTTCTCTATCAGTCTCCAGCTCTTTATCATTCCTAGAATCTATCAGAGGTGCATCATCCACATCCAGTAACAAAGGCATCCCTTTGGCATTCTCCACATTGCTTTCTGAAGAGTTGCTGTTGCTTTCATTAGTTAATTTTGAATTGGTAGTTGTTTTAAGAGCTTGAGATAAAGTTACGGGTACGTATAAATCTACATCAACTTGTGAGACTGAGAGCTTATTCATCACTTCTTCAACAGGACTCTCAGATTCCATCTTTTGCATTCCAGAAATGGACTCATTGACACTTGCTGCTGAGCTGCCTGCATAGCCTCTAGGAGCTGTATCACTGGAATTTTTCAGTTCCACTGAATCATTCAATATGACAGCAGTAAATGAGTCAGACACACCAGCATCTGCCACAATTGTCTTGGTAACTCTACTTTCCTCAGTGCTGATTGATGAGTTCTGGTCTTCTGAAGGATCAGAAACATTGCTAGCCCCAATGATTTGCTCTGTGTTTGTGCAACCGTCACGATTCTCATCATAGTTGGTATTTTCCTTGAAATCAAAGTCTGCAACAACTGGCTCAGCTTCTTTTACTTGAAACCATTCAGTATTAACATCGTTGTGCAACTTTTCATCAGAGTCTAAGAGTAGACCTGTGGCCCAGTTTATGTCTTTGTTACATCTTTCGTACAGATCTTTCACAGCTTCAACTGAAAATGAATCAAAGAGTTTGCACAGCATGTTTAGCTTTTCAGTCTCATCAATATCGATAAGTTCACTTTCTTCCACAAATGTACTTTTATCATACATAACTCGATACGGTATTTTTTCCTGAGAACCTGAGGCATTGTCCATGTCTTTGGGTTTGAAGCCATCTAATCTGCCATGCAATACTTTGACAGTCTCAGGAAAAAGCATTTTATTTTCTAATCTCCACAGGAGAGCAAAATCATGAGATTCGGTTTGTGAATGGCTACTTATCTGTTTACATGAGCACGCATCTTGTTTCTCTTCTGCAGAATCAGGCACAGACAACTGTTCCTCTTCTTTGGAGTGGGGCAAATTATTGTTTGTAAAAGTGAGTGCTAATTTGTGATGTTTCCTTGTTCTCTTATTTTGCTGGGTTTTTTTCTTAGCAACTGTTTCATTACCTATCATTTCAGGTTGGTGAAAATGCAACTCTTCCACATCCTGTTCTACAGTGTCCATAGGTATCCCTCGAAGCACATCTACAGTGTCAAGAGCACTTCTGTTAACATCACCTTCAGTATTTCTACCTTCATCAGACTGACTTAGACTTGTCTTCCTCATTCTTCTTGACCTTTGCTGTCGCTGTTCTAATGACACCGGCCAATGTCCCACTGTTTGCAGGTCTGGTGCAACTTTATCTGAAGTAGCAGGGAAACAACTAGAGGTTGTATTTTCTCCCTCCTGTCCTTTCACAACAGTACAGGTATCAGTTAGGCCAGCTTGCTCTTTACCTAATTCAGGATGCTGACTGGGAGTTTTACCTTCCCTATCACTCTTCAGAGAAGATTTTTCTAGCCTTCTAGTTCTTTTGACTCTCTGTCCCATCGTTTGTTGTACAGGCCAGTCACCCAGAAAATTCAGCAGCTCTGGTTTTTCTGATGCCTCCATAACCGAGGCGCTTGGTTCTACTACATTACTTCTTTCTGTTGAATCTGACTCCAAGCCTATTTCACTGTTTTGTTCAGATTCAGTCTGAACTTTGAGAATATTGTCATTACTGTGTTTCTCAACTCCTCCCCTATGCATGCATACAGTTTCTTCAGTTGTGATTATATCAGTCTCATCCATTTCTGTTTCAGTAATTTCCATTCTTTCTCCTTTTTCTTCTTTTTTCTCCAAGGGCAGCTCTTTCTCGACATAACTCGACAAATCAACATCCAAGATATCTTGAATGGTGTTGTTCTCAGTATTGTGTTTCACTGAGTTATTTTCCATTTCTTTTTCCTCTTTCTGATAACTCTCGGGAGCAAAATTACTTTCTGAAATTAGAGAACAACTGGAAAGAGGTTTATCATCTTCAGGTAAATTAAGAGGCTCCAAATCAGAAGCAAAAGGTTTGTTTTCCTTTTGGGAATGTGCCTCCCTTTCTCTGAAAGACAAATTGGAATAAAGAAAAATCTACATCAAACTTTCTTCAAGCACTTGTTCTTGTCCACATTTTTAATTTTGGCTTTGCAATTCAATAATGTAAAAATTACAGATCATAAACTGTCTTTCAAGACAGTTAAATCATCCAGTTGAATAATCTTATTGAGAGGAAAACAAATTTAAGATGACCTAAGACAAATCTCAACACTTTATTATAAAAAACAATGAGCTAAACAAAGCAGAGCTTTCTTTGGTAAGTAACCCTTTTTTAGTTCATCAAAGTGCCTAGGAATACTTTTCCAGGAATCTATCTTCCCCTGTTCCCACCGTTCAGTTCGGCACTGGAGCACTTTGTTACCACACTGATTGCTTGATACTAAACAAAAAAAGTCCAGAAATTAACTGGGAAGGGATCTGCCATTTCATTCACATCACTTTTCAAAACATACAACTTCCCATTAACCATCATTTCCTACTTGATTTCAAATTTATTAAAGAAAAAAAAAAAAGAATAAAATAAGATTTCCTATGCACTGTGACAATATAGGAACATTATTCAGATTAGCCATTACAAAATAATCTGTGTTTATGCTTAACATAAATCTAGATAATTCTACATTACATATATTTGAGAGCAAGTTGGTAATTCATTACTATTGCACAAAACATCATCTTACACCAACACTGAAGCTCCAACTGTAGCTCGCTTGTATTCTGTTAAGTTAACAAGATAACCAAGACTGGTTTACTGAAAGGTAACACAACTACACAGAGATTTTCAAAGAGCATCTATTTGCTAGCTAGATCCCTTTATTGTTCATTTCTACAAATCTTGTAATTCCTAAAAATTATTATTATTATTAATATTTATTATTATTTTTTAATTATTATTATTATTATTACTAATAATAATTACTAATAATAATTACTATAACTATAATTACTACTACTACTAATAATAATAATAAATCCCACAACTGTAGAGTACTTCCTTTTCTGTTATTTTTTTGATCTTAGGAATGTATAGTGTTCAACATCATCATCCAGGCCTTGCTGCTATAAAGTTTTATTTTTTTGCTTTTCTTTTTTTTTAAAGCTACAAATGTAGTAAAAGAATCTAACCTATGACTTTCCTCCTGACAAGCATCTTCATTCCAAGCAGTAACTTCTGATTTTTCTGGGACAGAAGACTCCAAGATTGAGTTAACAGTAAGGCAACGTTCATATTGCTCCAACATTCTCTTGATCTTTTCTTTAGATACCCCATGAATATTCCGCCTATGTATTTGAAAAAAAAGAAAAAAAAGAAGAAACATTTCATATTTGTGTATCAGAATACACTAAGAGAAGGGAATAACTTGTGGTTACAGAAAGACTAACCAGAGAACTCAAGGGGCCAAGATGAAAGCTGAAACAGCAATTCTTACTGTATTAGTGTGCCAAGGCAGTCAAAATGGGGAGACTTAAACAAATTCCTGCTCCGCTTGACATCTCCCTACCCCACCTGGTGGCCCTATTCTGCAAGAGGATGTTTTGCTTAATACTAAAATCTAATACCATACAATTAACATGCTGCCTACAAATAAGCATCAGAAACACATCACATCAGATGTAGATATGATACAGGAAGTCAAACCGGGTAAGGCAGATTTCTGAACTCCCCCTTCCTTCACTGGCTTTTCTAAGCTAACAACTCCATGAGTCTTCAGGCAAAACCTATTCGCTTATTATTATGGACACATTCTTAGGGTCCAACATTTTCACTAACTCCATTAAACACCAATTAGCAACATGTTCTAGGAGGAATTACTGCAGAACAAGTGAAAACTGACAAAGGTAGCAAAAAGGAATTGAAGGTGGAGGAGAAAATCCCAACTGATCTCTAGCACCATAAGGAGGCTGGACTTTCCTTCCTTTGATCTAACCATAGTTTATTCCAAAATGATTCCCATTTGTTCCTGCTTTCTGAACATGAAGTCTGCAAGGACCAAGAGCTAGTATTTATGTTGAAGGCTGCCCAGCAATCAATGGGTGTTCGGTTACTGAATGACCCAGAGCTCCTCTCAGTTCAAGAGACAACATAGCCTCATCTAGGCTTGGGATCAAGGAGCTCGTGTCATCATGACAAGATACTACCTGTCAACAAGGCACAGGTGGTCCTTGGTTTCTACTTGAACCCACACATTTAGTTTCTATTTTAGGAAAGAAGATAATGTTCTTCACCTCCCTTGAAGAGTGGTCAAGTTAAAGCTAAGCATGCAAATTCAGATGACAACACGTATTATGAAATCATAGAATAATTTAAAGTGAAAGGAACCTTTGGAGGTCACATACTTCGAACTACTTTTCAGCCAGAATAGGCTGTAACATTTTGGATGTACCTCGTAACTGAGCATCCACAAACTTAGTGAAACCTCCTTCAGTGATTGACCATCCCAAAGTTTGTTTTTCTTTTCTTAAACTTATTTTACGTAAAGAAAGTTCCCAAGCTCCAACTTGTTTGTATTTGCAATCTAATGTAAAAATTTCCCTTACATTCTTACCTTTCAAGTTCTTTCGGTTTAAACTTCCACCACGTGTCTGGCTCTCGAAACATGACTTTATATTTGAACTGCTGAGCCTGAATAAAAAAGATATAAAACAAAGAACATATCAGACATGTAAAAAGACATACAACATGCACAGGCTGCTTTTTTAAAAGCTGTTTATTGTATTTTTCAAAAATAGTTACATATCTGGAATAACATTTTCTTTCATAGATTCATTTCTGATTAGATATATGGAGGTTTGTTTTTTTTTCCCTACATGCTTACTTATGGTATAATTAGATGTGTGCCAACTTCACAGTAAAAATAAATAAAATAGAGTCACTACTTTAAAAGTTGCACGTCCTCTGTCATGTCATGTCAAGATTGCAGCATCTCATCTTTCCAGGCATGGTATGCATGAATCTACACAGTCTCTTGCAGAGAAAAGCTCACTGCTTACTTTTAGAGCTGGCCAGAGGCAAGTCAGTTCCAAACAAGCAATTCAGTTACACTAACATCGCTGGATCAGACAGCCATCCCAAAATCTGGGAAACTTGAGCAGGCTGCAAGTAAACAGTCATTAATATACCCTATTCTCATTAGTGCAGATTATATATATATAAAAAAAAAAAAAAAGTACCTTGCTGTTTTTCTGATTCTGATATAGAAGAGGAACAGAACCTAGTTTCCCCAACAAAATACATTTTTGCTCTTAAGTACAAAACACTTGGATTTGTCAGTTGGAAACCAGGTCAGCTCAATATGCAGGCATGTGCAGAACATGATGTTGGGTAGTAATGTTTCACATAACATTTCTATGACTCCAGACTTCTTTGTGACACACTAGCTAGACTGAGAATGATAATCACATTTTAAATCATATGTCGACAAAAGGGTCAATTCTTTCCACATGGAACAATCACAATACTAACCAAAGCAACATAAGGCTTCATCTCCCATGCCTGTATGTTTGTGTTGTCTATGATTATAGGAGAGATTTTCATTTCAAATGCTTCTTTGGCTGAAAGACACACATGTACAAAACAAAATGTGATATAATTAATTTCATGATAATAGATTGGACATTACACTATTCTCTAAATATGTAACAATATTTGAATAGATAATCCATAATGATTAATTACTAAGTAGTCTTGCACAGCTTGACCGGTGTGTTCCAAAGCTTTCTTATCCCCCCCTAATTTGTACAGCCACTGAGATACGACATTATTCTTTTGAATTAATAAATGGATGGTAATCAAGGAATGAAAATGCAGATGTAAAATGCAGCAGGGTGACTAATCAATCAGTAAATCAAACTGAAAAAAAAAAAACTACATGATCACCTTAAAGTGGACTTCTTTGTTGCATACAAAATTCTTGGCTTTATAACAGTCTTAAGATTAGTCCACTCTGTAAACTGTATAAGATATGAAAAATCAAAATAATTATTTTTTTTCATACAAAGTAATAAAATGTTTAGAATTACTAGCTTTGAGATACAGCACCAAGTTCTGTAGCTATGATTGTTCAGACACACTGTTACCAAGTTATTGTCAAATCCCACATTTCTTATTAGCCCATTTTTACACAGATTATAACTTTTGACAATGTAGAAGTGATCATGGTTGAAATTTAGCAAAGAGAAACTTTAAAAAAAGAGTTGTTCATAGAAGAGCTTAGCGAAAGTCCCTATAAAAAAATACATCAATTATGAAAAAACAGCCATTTCTGTCTAGTTCTTATAAATTTGCTTTAAATTTGACAGCAAATTAATGCTCAACAGAAAAAAAAAAAAAAAAACAATAGGAAAGTATCTGTGTAAGTGTTATTTGTATCAACATGATCATTACTTATTGCGTATGTGTCCATATTCAGTCATCTTAATCTCAGAAGAAATACTCCCAGGAGGTAGCACAGGCTGCCACTCCAGAAATGAGACCGACACCAAAATACATAGCATTACAAGATCTGAGGACAAAATAACATTTTGACAAAGACATTGGTATTCTCAATTGCAAAACACACCATGGACAAATGATACCTGAGTTTGTGCTCAGCCTCTTTAACCACACATGATAAAAAATAATTTTAAGATGAAGTAAATGCCAATCATGTGACACAAGCATTACAAAACAGGTATCTTCTTAAACAGCACACAAGCACTGAAATGTAAACAAGCAAGACAGTCTAGTATGTATTTCTCACCTCGTTTCCTGTTCCACTCGTGTGCTTCCCCTAAGCAACGTGCATCATAGTGGTACTTTCCACATTTATAAAAGTAGTCATCAGTACTAAGAATGACTCCACCTGGGTTATCCTCCAGTATCATCCTGTGAAAGATGAAGCAGAAAGTACTTTTCTTCCCTTCTCCTCCCCAGCCCTGCTACTTATTATTATACATACATGTATATCATTTCTTGCCCCAAACCAGAAACAGACGCAGCAAACTTAGGTAAGGGAAAAGTCACCTTTTTGGCAAAGATGAACTGTAGTAATTTCCTTCCTTTACCAAATGCTGCAGATATCTAGGAAAAACAGGTTCCCTACAAGTTTCATTTAAAGAAACCAGAATTTTTTCCATCTATACCTTGGGTCCATACTTTTGTATGAACAAATATACATGCACTCTTAGTCGCATCAAATATTTCAGATGCCAGACAGAGGAGACTAAGCACAGCATGGACTTTTGGAGAGCTACAAAAGAAATAAAGGGTTCAATCTCAACACATACTACTTGTTCTTTTTTTCCTCCCCTCCCCCCCAAAAGAACTTCAATAGCAGAAGAACTTCTACCTACTGAAGAGCTTGTATATTTCCATCTTTGTTACTGGAAGGAAACACTTGAAACTGATAGGAACTGGACTAACACAGTAGACTCAAATACTACTTAAGTGACTCTCTGTTGGCATAAAACTCCATTCCAGACCTCAGACCAGTGACAGCAGTTAAAGCTAATTCCTCCTAGTTCTCTTTCCACTAGAGGTCAAGGAGCTGGAAGTAACTTTGCTCTCTCCAGTAATTATTACTTGTGTTGTTGTATTGTATGTACCATGTATTAAATGTAGCACGACAATTAAGGTTTAATCATAGCTATTTACAAATGTCAGAAAATTGTCTTTGCCTGCACTAAATCTTTTAGACAATTAAGCAACTTCTTTCATAAGCTCACAATATAGATGTTCTACCTTGCCAAATATGATTTTCCTGATCCCGGAACACCTCTGAGAAGAACAAGTACTTGACCTATAAGGTGCATCTTTTTTCTCATCATGTGACAAACAGGTGGCTGCTGTGCTTGCGAGAGGTTCAATTTTGAGTTTCTATCTTGATTTTCCCATACCTTCAGAGAAGGGCTGCTATCCCAGGCATTTGGAACCACTGGAGAAGAAAAAACAAGTCCTTTTTCCAATGTCCTATAGTCTGAAACGGGTCTCCACTGTCCTGGACTGACAGCCACTGGAGTTACAAAGCTGTGACTTCCAATGGACGGATAAAAGGCAGGAGCCATAAGGTTCCATTGTTGTTGAGTCCGACATGATGGTGTAGAAAGATTAAAACCATAATTCTGCTCAGATTGCTGAAAATCCTTAAGTTTTGGTGTTTTGAAACTGGATTTTTCAAGAGAGACACAGGCTTCTGGAAGAGAAGTGTTGTGAGTGTCACAGGCAGTCATTAACTCTCTGTGCTGTTGCAGGCACTGTGAATTAGGTTCTTCAGTGATAGCTACTCCAAGTTCCAGAGCTCTTTGGGAAGACTCGCCAGAAGCAGTAGTTGCACTTTTGTGATCTGAAACAATATGCTGTGCCTGATCAGAATTTCCACGGGATGTTTCTCCATTTGATTGTTCATAGGCTTCTGAAGCTATATCCTGGTGAACGCCTATTTTTGACAAATCGGAATCCTGTAATGCTTGTGCAAAAGTGTCCGATGCAGCTGGTGAGCTTGTCTGGATGTTCAGCTGATTCGCTGGTAGCTGAGAAGAGCAGTTTTCCAAAACCTCATTACTTGTCGCTATTTGGTGTGGAAAAAGTAGAACATTGCAACCCAAATCCGATTCTTCCCACTCAGGAAATTCCTTAAAGCCATCACGTTCACATACAATTTGATCATTTGCAGAATTAGGCAATTCGACACTCAAGCTGCATCTCTGAAAAGCATTTTCTATTAAGGAATCCAGTTCTTCAGTCAGCGGCATGTCAGGTGATAAGACCTTTTCTTCTTCTTCTTCAGAATTACAGTGTTTCACAGTACTTTCCCACATTCTTTGATTTGGAACAGATCTCCGCTGATTAACAAGGGCTAATGACGATGCCACTGATTCAAAATCTGAGACTTTTGAGGATGCTGCTCCTTCAGCATGAGTGGACAGCTCTAACAGACAATCCATAGCATTTTCTACTGTTGAACAACATTAACAAAATTAACCATAGTCAACTGAAGAAATGCAGGCTGATGAGATTATAGATTTTTACTTCAAGAAGTATTTATCACAAGTAAAGAGACAACCAACAAAGTTCACTAATTCATCTGTTAACATATCTTCTGCACCCTCATCATCTGCTTCTCATTAGAGGTAAAAAACAGAACTGAAAACAGACATGTTGCAAAATAATAACATAATATGCATTAAAATGACCAAAGGAAATCATGTATAAAAATGACTAAGTTTAACTGAAAAAAAAAAAAAACAACCCAGATCTGGATGTTTAAATGAATACTTCTAATCTAAATCATCTAAGTGAAATGGTGTGAAATGGCGCTATTGTGAAGAGATACAAGTATAAAAATTACTTTCATGATGGCTAAGTCCAAGTGAAAATGTCATAGTAGTCTGAAAATTTCAGTATCTTCATCAAATCTTTGTCAAGACACTAAATGGAGTATATGCCTATGAATAATGTGACCACAAACGAAAAGCTAGCACAAGCAGCACCAGAGCACTAAAGCTAAGCTTCTATTTTTCTGAAGCACAATGCAGCAAAAAAAAGAAAAAAAACACATTATAATGATCTTAAGCTTGTTTACTGAATTCTCCAAAAATCTTCTAGACAAAGCTGTCGTTTTCATAAAACTTATTGACTCATGCTTATAAGTCTAATAACTCCATCAATTCCAGTTTTAAAGGAATAAACAACAAACATGAGTGACCTACTAAATTATAAACCCACTACAATTTTGGTAAGATAGAAACAGTAATAAAAGGAGAAGCCCTTTTAATGGCTACATAGCTTTCAAGCATATGAAAAATATCAATCTCTATCTTGTTTACCAGTACTCTTAGAAAAATCTCAGCTAATCACAGCTTGATTAACATGCTCCACATATGACTTATTCCCTGCTCAAACAACTCAGATATTGTTATCCAGTATCTTTGCCATTATTTTTATTACAAGCTAATGAGCTTGTATATAGGAAAATTTCAGAACCACAAAGCATGAGAAGAACTGGACACAGACATAAAAATGAAAATGACAGGAGAGGTGGGTAAGCAGTTTGGCAGAATACAGGGGGAGAAAAACAGTCCAAGTGAGGCTGCAGAGAATTCAACATGAAAAACAGAATTTATCCTGAAACAACTAATCCTCACTAGAAATGACAAGATGACAGTGCAAAACAGAAAGTAAAACAAAAGCTCAATTCAAATATTTAAGAAAAATCAAATGTTGCCAGGATAACGTAACGTGTATCACTGTCTTAAAAAAATATCATTCTAGAAAATAGCATACCCTCCCACAAGAACAGTTTATGCATCCAGCAGATTTGGTACAGAAACTAATTGGAAACAGATTCCCCCCACAAATCTACTGCTGCCTGCTCTGTATCTCAGATCAAGCCAATTAAATTGTATCTCTGTTTTTTAAAGCCCACTGTTACTGCACATTACCAGCATCCCACAAACATAATCAAACTTTTGCATGGAGAGAGCTAAAAAAAAAAAAAAAATAAAAATAAAAATGTTATGACTCACCTACTCATTAAAAACTAGACTCACAAATACGTTTACAATTCCCACATCAACATGTTTGGTGTTGCCCTAGTAAAGAACTGTCTGCATATGGAACAAAGTTGAATGACAAATAAACTGTATTTACCTTTAAAATCACATTCCGAGAGAACCATATAAACCACACTAGGATCTAAGTCAGAAAACATTTCTGACATGCTGTTGAAGAGCTTTTCCTTATTGACACTGTAGGCTGGTTGTGACATTGAGAGGCTTGGGTCCCCCTGGGGTAAAAAAGCAGCAGCTCCAGTCTTCCGAGAAGGACTCCCACCAATTTTCCTTCTCCGTGGCATTTTGTTTACCAAAATCAGGTTGCTTTGTTTTATTTTGTTCCCATGAGGCCAAGAGTACCAAAGTCAGAAATCACAAGAAAATTCTCACAGCCAGAATGCATACAACAGGAATAGCAGACCTGGGAAGAAGAGAACAAAAAAAAAAAAAAAATTTTTTTAAATAGTCACATTTCCATGTCCCCTGTTAAGATACATAAAACATCAAAAAGACTTAAGCATCCAGAAAAAACACTTTTCAGAAGGCTGCTTTTTTTCTTTTCAAATGGCTGACAGCAAAATAGCAATCTTATTTCCTAACTAACTATCTATCCAATCTGTGCCTGAAAGAAAGTACAGTAAAGGAAGCTACCTATGCAAAGCAGACAGTTCACAGGTACTCCTCTGCCAACATCTACTGTCGACCAGCTAACATTATGGAAAGTTTATATTCTGTTAAAAATTCAGAGCCTTTTTTTTCCTCTTACAAAACTACTGAAAGATTTGGAACATCTGTTGTTTTCCAGAAGTACTTCAGAGCATGACTATTCTTTATGTTTCAAATATTCGTAAGGGTAAAAAGTTGAGGTTCTTCAGTATTCCAGTATAAGAAAATATTGCCCAGACAGGGTGCAGGGTTCTCATCTTTGGAGATTTTCAAAACCTGACTGTACACAGCTCTGAGCAACCTACTCTAGGTGATGCTGATTGAGCAGGTGCATTGAACCAGATGATGTCCAGAGGTGCCTTCCATACCTCATCGATTTTGTGGGTTTTATTTTTGTGTTTGTGTTTTAAAACTTTTGAAAACATTTTGCAGATGTATGAGCTATAAAGCCTGACGAGGCTAATGTCCTGCCCATGAAGCCTTTGAATACTTCCAGTTAAAACGTTACGGCATCAATAATAACTGCAATTACTGCACTAATCTTCTGTAGAAGAAAGCAACTCTTAACTGACGTAGAAGCAAGAGTGTAGTATGATCTTAGTCTTTTCTTTATGTCAAATAATAATAAAACACTCTGTGTTCTAGCAAAGCTTATAAACTCATAATTTTTGTAACAAATTACTCAGTAAAGTAGCAAACTTCGTTACTGAAGTAAATTACAACAAAGGATCATTATCCAGTAATAACAGCTGTGAACTGGCCACAGAATACCTCATTCTGTGTCAGGATTATTTTGCCAGCAATGACCAATTTAACACAGACACACTCTTTCCTCACAGTGCACAAATGACAAAGCCAAATCAGTGTCAGCTTTGGGCAGCACCTTCCCTTTATTCTCCAGCAATCTCTACCACTAACTGTGTATTTAAAAGGAGATAGACTGTTATCTCCTAAGTTGTAAGAACACACATAAGAAAAACAAATTTCAGGACACCAGGAGTTTCTACTATGCTTATGGACTTGAGCTACAGAAATGACGGACGTCTGAAACAACAAGAAGTCACAGAACTGTGAAAGGTACAGGTGAGAAGAGCAGTACTCAGGAAAAAGAGACAGAGTTCCAAACATAAAGGGGACGCGACCATGGAAGATGAATGCTAGCAGACGGAGGTCAACTGCGGCTGTTTTTTGAGGATCCTCATAACACTCCTGATTTCTCTCTCTGATTAGCTGCCCTTACATATTTGCTACCCTCTGCTCACTTAAAAATAAATAAATAAACAAATAAATAAAAATCAAGCAAACAATTAAAAACAATGGCTTTTTTTTCTTTTTGATTCATCCTCCAGGCAGTAAAACAGGCTGAGACGTATGTTCACAGAAGGTGCCAGTGCTAGAAAATACTCCTCACTAAAACCGGTTCAATGAAAGAAAAAATCCTGCAAGGGAGAAAGCTTTTCATGCACCTTGATATTCCTGCACGCCAACAGACTTTAAGCAGAACTCTGTTATCACTATTTCAAATCCCTTGTAATTAACAGTCCATGTTCTCCAGCTAGACCTTCCCAACATTATTTCCTCCATTAGGATGCATACCACGCTACACATTAAGATGCATTACTCTAGGCATCCTAACATAGCCATATGCTTCAGCCTGCATGAATCAAATCAGCAAATAAACTGTTTATGCCAATTAATCACACACCTCTCATCGTCTTCTTCATTTTCACTTGTCATTGCAGCAGCAATACTTTTTTCCCCCCAATTAACACACTACACAGAACAGTTTCAAAGGAAGAGATTTTGTTTGTATCAGCTGTGATCTGAATCTCTGCATTTTAGGTAAGCTGCTGGTGCCATGGTCAAGAGATTGAGAAATCTTGTAGATCTACTACTACAAGCCCTTAATATTATTACTGTGAAATGAAAAGAATACAGAAATAAGGTTATCATGGCCACCATCACAGACAGGTATTTTGACAGATTCTTCTTTGTGTACACCCAAATTTTCAATGTAATTCCTCAACAGACTCCTGGGCTTCCTTGTTGATATCACCAAGCACGATAGAAATATATAAAAAGAGATGACTGCACACATGCAATATAATTCAGTGTGCTTTGTATGAGACATGACACTACCACACTATACTGAAAGGAAGAATTACTCACTTGCTGATAGGAACATGCCCTGAACTTTAAAGAGGATTTTACCTAGGGACTTGCCTTTTCAGATACTCAAGTTTCTCTTTTTGAAAGCTAGTTTACTAAGAAAGGGGAAATCATTTTGAACAACTGAAGAGCCAGACTTGCAGGTCAGCTCCATTTGTGGGTTATGGCTAACATATTACAAATCAATTTGTAGTTTGCTGTGGATGGGGGCTTTTCTCCCCAAGATGAAAATGGAATTGTAATAACAACTAGGGCTGCACTGAACACAGCGAAAGGGGATTTTAGAGATGAAGCAAAGGCTGTAATACATTTGGTGGTCCACTAGGCAGTTCTGGGTACCACTACTCCACACATACCCAATTAGAGCAAATAGCTCTTTCATTTCAGCGCTGATGACAAACAACACTCCTGTGGCAGCCTCAGCTTCACCTACACAAAAAGCAAAATAAGACAAAAACCCTCAAGCACCCCTTCAAACTCAGTTTTTCCAGAAACACACATCTACTGACATTAAGAGTCTCCTCCCATTGAAATTCAGCTACCACAAACATGTACAAAAGCCTGGCTGTACGAAAATTACCTTCTTTACGGAGGAACCCCATAAATGGAAGAGAAAATAAGCGTTTGGTATTTTCTACAAAATAGTATTGTTTACAAACCCTAACAACCTAATCTAGAAAACAAGATGCCATAGATCCATCAAGTCAAGGTGCTTCAGTCTTTCCAAAGTGACAGAATTTATTCTTAAATCACCCATTATGAGCCTGCAATGTTGCCTGTTCCAGCACTGCTACCCCTAAGGAGCTCAGTGATGAATCAGACAGCATCAAGAGAAGAGCAACACAGAGATCAGCAGTCACTACAGGCAAACTGTAACTGCCAAAACAGGCAAGCACTGATGTCACAACACACCTTTGTCTTTTCTGTTCTACAGTTGGAACAAGAAAGCATAGAGAAGAGTCAAACCTCGCCAAGCAATGGGATGGACCAGAATCTCAAGTCTCAATTCCAACTTTAAGTAGCAACTCTCAATATTTCTTTCCAGGAAAAGGAATGCCAACAGTTTCTTAAACTACATAGGTTGCTCCAAAAGTAATGCCTCCTGCTTATTTCCATGGAAATTACAACAGATACAGACAACACAATAACACTGTTTGATAAATTCTCAGCTACAGAACACTATTTTTCAACACAGTCACTCCCATCAGCCAATTCATGCAGATGAGTTGATCGAGATGCTCTTTATCTCACAGCGTGATAGCTGTGCACAGACATCTAGAACATGGCTTGTGTCTTTCATGTCACTTTAACTACTGCTGAAATGCACCACTCACTGCCTGACTTTGCTCACATTCACTGTTTGGTCCTCAGAAATGCTCAGCAAGTGCTGATGAATGTCGACATATGCAAATCTTTCCACATGGGAGATGTCCGTGTCACATCTTTGCTTCATACGCACCTCCATGTCAGACACCATTTTGTCACACTGCCCCTCTGCTGCCATCTGTTACACAGCAACAAAACATAAGGGAATATTGGTGGAAAGGTTCAACCTCTATTGCCATACCGGGATCATCTGCCTCTGACTCTATGGGACAGCATAACAAAATAGGAGGCATTCCATTTGGAGCAGCCCTTGTCATAGATTTAAGAATGTATTTGTAATTCTCTAGGAGAACAAATGTAACATGACCCATGCTTCCAATAAGTACAATTCTACAAAAGAGGAAAAACACGGGTTTTTTTTCCTCTCTCTCTCTCCCTCCCCATTTTTTCCTCCCCACTCATTTCTAACATTGACAAGTTTTCCCAGTCCTGAAAAAATAGATGAGAAAATTCTCCACAAAGCACAGAATGAATTTAAATTGCTGTAACTACTGCAAAGGAATTCCCTTGCAGACACATGTTCCAAAAGTTTCAGTTTTATTTTCACGAGCACAAATGTCCATAGGAAAAAATAATCAAAAATAGCAGTACAGCAGTCAACCAAGTCAGACTCCTCACACTGGGAAGGCAGGTTGATGACAACACTAAGCATGCTTTCAACATACTATCTATAATGATAGAGAGCACTAAAAGAGATTAAATGAACAAAGAACTTAAATTTAACTAATATCATACCAATCTTCCTGACAGAATTAAAAGAAGAGGAAAGAGAAGTTACGTTCTGAAAGACAATGACTATGAAATGTTTTATGGAAAAAGAAACAAACAATCACAGCCTTGAGGCCTACCAACATCGTAATTGCTACTGCATAAGCAGCTGCTTAGGAGAGTGAAGAAATAGACTACTGCAAGGAACACAGCAGCCCTTCAACATGGTCAACATTTGTTTCACAATAGCCTGCCAAGGCCAAAACTTAAAATCTTACAGGGACTGTTTACAGTACAAAATGTTCATCAATTAATTTTAAATAAATTAAGGGTGAATTCCAGTTAAATGGCTGCGAAGATATCTGGGAATCACAGCATTTAAACCACTTCAATGCTGTAATCACTATGTTCCTATAATGTAGATGAATAAACAACCTATAGAAGGATTGGGAAAATTGAAACAAAGCTTACACTGAACATTTTAGTGGCAAATTCTTAGGCAGAATAAACATTTTAGTGTCAAAGCCACACTCCAACACAGGTAAAGCAAACTGCAACTGCCATCAAACTTTAAATTTTCCTTAAAAAAATAAAAAATAAAAAAATCAAAATATACTCTTCTTCTGAAAATGCAGTGCAAAGAACTCAAAAACCTTAAAATCATCCCAACAAAAATTAAAGGAAAACAAAAACCCCTAAGATTTTCCAAAAAAATGAACGTGATTTTTAATGGATCTAAAGATTTCACTTACAATCAGAAATAGTTGCTAATATAACCTCGTTTTCAATCACAAATAAGCCATCTCTATTACCACTCTTCCTTTCGCCAAAAAGAAAGATCCTTTTGGCCCTTCTCACCAAAAGAAGCTTCCAGCTTTGGCACAATGTAATTTTGAATGCTTACAACCAAAGCTGCTCATTTGGATGTTGTTAAGCTTTTCTCATCAATTTAAGGAAGTAAACCTCATATGCATTTAAAAAAAAAGTTTGGTTTTAAGTTTTATATCCAAAAAGAATTTTGAATTTCAAACCACATAAACTACTTATTAAGTAATGTTCATTTGAATCTTCAGAATGTTAGTGTGTGTGTATACATATGTATAGACACACACACACTTTTTTAATAACCACAAAACTTTAAAACAAAAACAAAAAACCTGTGTTTGAATTCAAATAAAACAATATTGGCATAGAACTTACATTTTTGGTTTCATTGTGTTGCCCCACAGTGGGTCCCTTCTCATCTTTCCAAAACCACCACAGATGGTATATCTAATACAGATTTGGAATTCAGAAAAAAATACATAATATACTTTTCTGTCAGGAAACCATGCTGTCAAATATGCGAGTTGAATGTCAATAGAAATTGGTAGAAGTGGGTGCTTCCTCCTGACAAAAGAATGATCAAAACACAAATTATAATCAGTATTATGCTCACAGCCCATGCAATTTTAAGAAAAGTTTTAACACTGAGCTATATACATATATATTTAATAGATGAAGCGTGGCTAACATTTTATTGAGAGAGTTCAACATGCTAAGTGGAACTCAAGTATCAGTTCGGCTAAGTGACTTCAGATACTTGTTTCTCACCTAGAAGAATGACTTACATCAGGTAACGAAATAGCACAATGACAGCAGAATGAACTTGGAACAAAAGTAAGTTTCCTTACTCATCATTCCACTCGGTTCTTCACCACAGTTCTTAGCCATCTTGAAAATGCTTATAGATCCATGTAGGTCCAGAAAAACTTCACTCCTTCATGTGATGAATTAGGCAACAAAAACCTGGTACAACAAAAATGGAATACATTATTTTCAGGTACACCATTATCTTGTAATATTCCACCAGCACTAGAAAGATGTCAGGAGGAAATTTTTCATCAAGAGGATGGTGAGGCATTACAATGGGTTGCCCAGAGAGACTGTGGAGGTGTTCAAGGCCAGGTTGGATGAGGCCCTGGGCAATGTGATAACAGCATCTGATTTCATGGCTGGCAACCCTGCCTATGGCAGAGAACTAGATGATCTCTGGAGTCCCTTCCAACCCAAGTCCATGATATTATGACAACATTACTTGTACTCTTTAAAGTAGCTGAAAACTCCTAAACCACTGTGTTCCACTGACGACACTAGGTATATTCAAAGCCTAAGTTCCAGCGCACATATGAGCCTAGAGATCAGTTTCCTAACAATATCTTCCAAACAATTCAAAATAAAAAAAAGAGCATGCATATGTAAACCAGATAAAGAAATCTAAACAAATTTTCTGTCATCCTCCAAATATGACAGGTTGTTGTCCCAATTATTTTATGAGTCCTCTCAAGAGACTGAGAACCTCCCTACCATTTTGCATCTGAACATATTCCACTGCTCCAAAGTTTTAAGAAGACACATCAGAAACAAACAAAGAAGGAGGGAGACCAACTTTTTAAAGGGTCTAATTGTTACAGGACAAGGGGGAATGACTTCAAACTAAAAGAAGGGAAATTGGGGTTATATATCACAAAAAAAATTCTTTACTCAGAGGATGGTGAGGCACTGGCACAGGCTACCCAGAGAAGCTGTGAATGCCCCATCCTCAGGCTTTCAAGGCCAGGTTGGATGAAGCCTTGGGCAGTCTGACCCAGTGGGTGGCAGCCCTGCTTATGGCAGGGGGTGGAACTGGATGGCTGTGAGGTCTCTTCCAATCCAAGCCATTCTGTGATTCCGTGATTCAAAACCTGCACAGCCTTATCCAACACAGGCCATTAAGAAGGAAACGGTTTTCAGAAGAAAGGACCCCTGATCATTATGATGGGCTCAAGAGCCTTTCTCCACACAGCACGCTGAGGAGGGGTTGTTCACCCACAGCAGCAGGGCTGTCAAATGGCCCATCCCACTGTGTAGCCTGGAGCCAGGACACTGCTCTTGAGAGAGGCCTCTGCTCAGTGAGCACAGACAGGCCTCCTGCTAGGTGTGTGCGACCAAAGCAACGAGGTAGTACAAGGACAGATGGGACATACACAGCTGCCAGCAAGATTTCCTCCTGCATCATGTCTTCTCTTTAAGAACTAGTTAATACTCCTTTTCAATTATCCCAATACCAGGGCTTTTTTCCAGACAAAAACAGAGTTGTAGCAGTTGAACACCTTCTCCACAAGCTTTTCTATAACTCAGATAAGGAAACTGCATATAATCCTAGGATATTTTCATTACCTTGTTTCCCCCACACACATACACACACTTTGCTACACCCCAACCACCTTTGTCTAGTTGTGGGCAAAGCCTCAAGGCTTGAGAGATGGCAAAAAGGAGTCTTAAGATTAAAGAGGGTGCAAATATGCAGCCAGACAGGCTAGAAAAGTAGCAGACAGCCGTTGTCTTGTTTAAGGTGGCTGTCTGTTTCTCAGAGAGTAATGACTGTCTGCAAAATGTCTCTCCAAACATCCAGGCTTGGACGCTTTAAGGTTAGCAATGTCCAGGATGAAGTGCAAAGCAAAAGGCTGGAACCAGTGACACTAGTGGCTATGTTGGGGCTTCCACAGTTAGTGCTACTGCTTAGGACTGCATTCTTATTCCATGTTACAAAATAGCGACGGAGCATTTGGAAAGAGAAATGAAAACTCCTGCCAGATGGTACTGCAACTCCTTCACATCATGTTTCCAGAGACGTTCCAGAAGTCAGGTTGAAGGGCAGTTAATCAAGGTAACTGTAAAATTACTGTTCTTCTTCAGCTATAGAAATTCCTCACACACTCCAGATGTACTTCCATAACTTTCTCTGAACTGCTTCATACAGACAGCACTGGACAGAACTTGCAGTTCAAGACTTGGCATCTCCCAGAATTGCTGGAAATGGCTTTGAATCTTTTAAATTTTAATGGAGTTGCAATTTATAACTAAGAAGTTAAGACAGTGCAATGCACAAAGTATATTTTAGGCTAATTTAAAAGGAAAAAAATGGGAAAAAATGAAAATACAACAAATTAAAAGCTGAACAAGACTCTCTTTATCAGGTTAACCTGAATATTACTGTAGTCTCCTACATTACTGTCTGCATTTCTCATAAGGATCTTTTTGATTTTTGCTGTGATTGAGGCCTGACGAAAGGATGGGCATTTATTTTAGCATTTAGAAAACCAACAAAAAGGCAGCAGCAAGGATGAAGATTGGTTCAGTAAGGATGAGATGATATTGGAAACAAGTATTACTGAAGATCATAGGTGGAACTTATTATTATGGACATATACATGCAAGTGGCAGATGGAGCTAAAAAACAGATCATTCAAAGAATCCTTATTCAGTTTTCCGCACTGGCAGCAGTCAGGACTGGTAATAAATGGAAATGCTACTGCCCCAAACCTTGACTTGTTAAGCAGTTGATGCAAAGGAAGATAGGTTTACTTTCTACTTTTAGTTGCTGCTGGAATTCTAAACTGACACGAAGGAAAGGACTGAGGTGCTAAGCATGGATCTCCAGATCTATGCAGGCAATTAACAGCTTCTGCAATGTCACCAGGTACATGGAAGCACTAAAACCACAGCTTCTCAGCTCCTCAACGTCCCCTTGCATTTGCTACACAGAACAACTCAATGGCAGCACTTTGCAATCAACTTTCTACAGCAAACCAAAGGTCAGCTTAACTCCTCCGAGCCCGTGATACATCCAGCCCTGCATTCTGGCAACCCCGCAGCCAAGCAAGTCTACAACAGTTTCCAGTTCTGTGACTCAAAATGACACTTTGTTGCACGCTGGGACAAAGCTGAAGCATGAGAAGTTCTTGAATTACAGAATGAGCTCAAATACAGAAGCACAAAAAAGATACATTCAGGTCTGCAGAAAGCACTTGAAAGCACAGGCTACACATGAGACGGTGACTGCTGGAACCTCAGTCAAAGCACAAAGCGTGCTAGAGGATCAGCCAGATTTTTCACCAATATCCAGTAACCAGTGGCTTCGAAACAGCAGTCTAAATAAGGAAGCTGAGTAGCCAGGCTGGAAAAAGACACACAACAGTTAATGAAATTAGCTGGTGGTCTGCCACACAACAGCAACAAAAGCACCACTCCAAAAAACAATTCCCAAACGTGAACATACTACAGTGCCACATAACAGGCTTCATATTGATTATACTATGTAATTACAAGTTAAACAAGGAAGCAAGAAACTAAACCACATTAGGAAAGCGAGATAGGAACGAGAACAGATTATTCATGTAGTTATCCCAAATATTTTCCAAGAAAAAAGAAATTCACCCCATCAGTTTCTAAGCTGGAAATTACATTGCATAGCTCTACCAGTACAAATACATCTACTTCTTACATTCTAATACGCTTCCATTTGTGAAGCCACCAGGCCAGCTGAACACAATGCATATGCAGCCATTACATAGCAATTAAAAAAGATAAAAGCCATTTTCAGCTTGCCATAAACCCACAGATAGATGACTTCATCCTTGTCCAAGTACATCAACAAAAAGCTTACAGCCACCAAGTGACCATTACTACTTACTTGAGAGTCTTAAGCCTAGCAATTTACCCTCAGGAAGTAATACATACGAGTTCAACTTTTATGACTGCAAAAATCGTCATGTGGATTTAAATTGTTTTTAATAGTCATCTGAGCTAACATGGACAATATCTGAGATTGGTATTATGGATTGGTTACCTAAATCAACCTGCCAGTAGATCTATATTCCCAGTGGAGCCATGAGAAGAAACAGCTGGAAAACCTAGCCTCTTCCACAAGCACAGCTGGATTCTGGAGAAAATATCATTGTATAGCTGCATTTGATCGTGAGAGCCTGTTAACTGAAGACTATTTAACTCCCTAGTGGCATTTTTATAGTAGCAGACTCTGTAGAAGAGATGATGGCAGCAACTTCTTGAAGCACAAGAATTAATAATTCTGCAACTTCTATCAGCAGTAAATTAATGTACAGAAAATTCTGTGTAAAAATAACAAGACTGATTATTTCAGCCATTTAGCTATAGATTGGCACAGTTAAAGAAAACAGGCCCTAAAAAGACCTCAGAAAAACCACCTGCCTAAGTCCCTATTCTATACACACTAATGCAATATACACTAATTCGAGACAACAAAACTGTATTTTGTAAAATAAAGCAGGTCATGGATAAGGATCCACCTACACCATAAGTTAAGTCACCTGTAGATGTGCTGTGGATGTTCCCAAAATTCACACTCAAGTTAACACTTTTTGTCATGCTTTACCACACTTCACATCCATAACACCATGAACCTCACTCCCCTCCCACACCAGTGCTTTCCCAGCTGAAATGCTCATGTTAGTGTAACAGTGGGAGCCTTTAAATAATAATAATAATAGGAGAAAGCCTTAGAGAAGAAATGAAAGGATTTTTAAGATGTGCTCAATCTTGCTGTATTTCCTTTACAGGCTCTCCATGTGGACATAGAGTACAACACCACAAACTACTGGAACTTTAAGGTGTTGCAAACATGACACGTACTTGCTCTGCCTTCCTAATGGCGACTATTAGCTGAATCAGGACTATAACTGCTATTACAAACGTACGTCACCCTTGATTTTCTTCTGCAATTTGCTTCAAGCCTGTGAGTAGTAGCTTGTAATAGACGAAGGGTGACTTATTTAACTTCCTTGTTCTTTCTGTTCATCTGAAAACTTCTCCAAAACAATTCTGGAGGACTTGCACTTAAGCTCCCTACATGAATCATTCCCATCTTTTATCCACATGACTACTGAAAGCTTCATAGGGGTGTGAGAAGCAAAATCCATTTTGTCAAGAGTTTGTGTTAAAACGTTTGTGGTGTTTCAAACTGTTCCCAGCTATTTAGAACAAGTTTTAAGAACAGTAACATACAGAGAAACTGCACTTCTTTCCTCCGTTTAAGCTGGGCTCCCCATAGCACTGCATCAGAACTGCAGCTCGCATCCAAAACCCTCGAGATCACCACACTACAAAGGTCACCACGCTTCAGGCTGTTCAAAACAAACAGCCCATTCAAGCACTACGTTGCTCGTTATTTCCTTCTGCACGGGGCGGATTCAACTCTTGAAAAACGCATTTGAGGCCTAACGGCGCACCGCACGCGGTTTGGCCGGGACAGGCGGACGGAGCCCTTCCTCCAGCAGCAGGTGAGGCCAAGCAGGCAGCAAAGCAAGGCAGGCAGAGCGAGGCCGGCGGGCCGGGCAGTCCCGAGCTCCCGAAGCAGCGGCCCCGCCTCGCGACCGCCGCCACCCCTCGCCGGACGGCCCGGCGCCGTCCCCTTCCCCGCGCGGGGGCAGCCCGCAGCGCTGGAGACCTACGGCCGGACTCGGCCGCGCAGGATCTGCCCCGTCGCCTCCTCTTCCTCCCGAGTTACGGGCAGCCCCCTTCGGCGACACCCGAGGCCGCGCCCGACAGCGCCGAGGACGGGCCCCAGCGGCCGCCGCCCGCCAGCGGCCTCCGCCATTTCAGGAGCCCTGCCCTATCGGGAGCAGGGGGAGGGCGAGGCTCCTCCCCGGCCTCACCGCTTCGCGCCGGAGCCCACCGGCCTTTACCTCCTGCCGCTCGGCTCGCTCGTTTCTGCCGGCCGCTGGGACGGGGGAGCTGCTCGGCGGCGGCAGGGGAGCGGGGGAGGCTGCGCGGAGCTCGCCGCGGGGACACAGTGCCGCTCTCCGTCCGGACGGGGAAGAACAGCCGGGAGGAAGCTCCGCTCCGCACCCCTCCGCTCCGCGCCGCCCCTCCCCGCCGGGCCGCAGCGCCGCCCCGCGTGTCCCGGGCGGGCTGGCACGGCCTGCGAGGTCCGGCCGCAGGAGGCCGGGCGGCGGCACGGTGCCGAGGGGCGGCCCTGCGGGGTTTAGCTGAGGGAGGTTCGCTGCCGAGAGATAAAGGCAGCCCCTGCTCAGCTCCTGTGCCCGGGGGGCGGCAGTTGCCACCTTTTTCACGTGGCTGGTGATGCAACTGGGCGTTAAGCACGGCTTTGGTGCCAACCTCTGGAAAGGCCGGTTCCGAGCCTGCCAAAACACACCGAAACGCGACCTTCGGCGCCTCCCCCGCACCGCTTTGTCCCGGGCCGCTCCCGCCGCAGCACAGCGTCCCGGGGAAGGAACCCGTGGGCCGAAGCGGCCGGACCGCTCCTGTGAAAGGCGAGAAGCACCGCCGCCCCCGAGCCGTGGGGCCGTCTGCGGGCCTGCAGATCGCTTCCATTGTGATTCGTCCCATTCGGTGAAAGTGGCGCCCTTCGATCCCCATCTGCCCCTTCCCCTGTCGTACGACATCTGCCTTCGGCGGACATTAAAGCGCTGCCGATGCGCTTACAAGCGCACGAGGCGCTCCCATCGCCCCGCCGCTTCCTCCAGGGCCTGAAGTCCTCGCTGCCCCCAGGCCCTGCGTGCCTTACAGCTGGAACTTCAACTGCAAGGTCCAGAGGGAACAACCAGATGAAAAAAAGAGAAGTTTTACAACGAAATAATCGCGCATGGGGAGCCCACTGTGGTCTTCTTGCACAACCTGCAAAAGAGCTCAGCGACTTCACTGTTGCTGGCAGGGATCACAGTCCCCCGGTGCTGTTTGTTAGGACAGCACCTGAAAAGCTATTTTATTTTGTTTGAACGTAAGTTTGTGTATATTTAGCAAAGAAGTAGCGTTTTTTAAAAAGTGGGAAACAAATTATTCAAAACATTTAATTCTCAGGTAATTAAACTGACTCAGTTTGCCTGTCACTTTGCTGTTTTAGTGCTTATCCCGTAGTTATACGGTGCGCAGTATTTAAACAAATAAAGGACAAACTTTCACATTTGTACTACAACATGTACATACATATTAATGCACAGGATGTGCTGCTAAATTTCAAGAAAGTGCTCTCTTGCCCTGTCTCATGGTAAGATAAAAAAAATTACTCAATACTGTGGTATTGGAAATGTCCAGAATCGTGGAAGAAAAACATCCATCAGCATTTGCGTGCGTATGTCTAGTGTCAGGCAGCTTTGTGCATGCACAGGGAACTGTTTCTTTCCTTCATTTGTTCAGAGCCTGGACAAATATCAGAAACAAAATCTTTTCTCTTTCAGGGTGTGATGCTGGTAAAGTGTTAATCATACGTTAGGAAAAATAGGTCGCATAGATTCCAGTCTAATGACTGTGTCTTTGTGTTTTTAAGGTTGCCAGAAAGAGGAAGAGGAAGGCTTTCATTATGCTGAGTCCAATTGCCTCCATTAAGCTGCCATGCTGGTGGGGTGTTGCTGCTGGCACTTGATGCATAAAACTATGTTGTTCTTTGCCAGTTGTACATATTACAGTATTTGACACCATGAAAATGCCAGACTAATTTGGGTACTGGCAGATTTCTCACTACAACAGCTAACACTTTAAACAGGAGGGGGGTTGGTATCTAGATAATTACCATAACTGTAAAAGAGATTCTTTATCTCTGTGCCTTTCTTTGAGTTTTCACACAACCATTTTTCACTTATTATCTGCTATTGTTTGGTTGGTTTTTTTTTTTTTTTTTTTTTTTTTGTTGTTGTTGTTGTTGTTTTTTTTTGTTTAATTTTTTATTATTATTATTTTAATTCACCTCTTCTTATGTCTACAGTTGGCTTGTTTATACTTGGAATGGCTTGAACATATAGCATGTAATCTGTGCTGTTTGGCACAAGCTTTCAGTCACTGAATGCTTTCACAACAGATTTTCCATTTCTGTTTCTACAATCCTGCCTTCTCAAAGTAGAAATACTTCACTATGCTCTTGCTTATGTTATAACTCACATTAAAATATTATTACTACCAGATCTGGACTGTAAAAAAACAAGAAAATGTCAGTTCCTTTTGATGCTTCTGATTGTACAGCCTCAATCTACTCAGCAAACTGTGATTTCCTTCTGTGCTCAAATTGCCTCTGAGGGTCTACAGCTAAAGAGGAGATTAGATTAGATTCTGATTTGCAAGAACAATTTCAAGCTAGACTTGTGGATTGAATAACATTCTTATGCTGTAAGAAAGGCATTTAATTGTCAGTTTTAAAGATTCTTATTTTTATATACATGAACATACTAAATATACAGTAATAAATACCTCAGGGAAACACCTGTGAAATTGGGCTGTATTAAAGATTCAGATTTGCCTGCAGTAAATATAAAATATTTTATTTTTTTCCAAGAATTTGTGGCACAGCTGTCATTCATCATTATTCAGACTTCTCTACCTTTTTTTTTTTTTTTTTTGAGGGAGAGTTCTGAAACTTGCAAGCTGAGCCCCAACTTACAGTATTATTTCCCATCTTCTAGAAAGGAGAGATGAGAAGAGCTTATAACAAATTCCCACAGTAAACGTTCATATAATAGTTGATTCGGTCTCTCTGTGCTACAAGGCAGCCTCTTCCTAGGATGCCTTCCACTGTCTCTTTCCATCTTTAGGTTTCACATACATTGGAGAGAATACAAAGGTAGCCTTTTTTTTTTCCCAATGGATTTACCTTAATGCTGATTTAAAATGTTTACTTTGGCTTTCTGGACTGCGTGCATTTTCAGTCACTATTACATTGTCTATGATCCTGGAGTTTGTGCTCCTACAAGAAATAACTTCTCTCAGCCAGAATTCAATTCCTCAAGTAGAAACTTAATTCTGTAGAGTTTTGGTTTGTCTTGTTGTTTTGTTTTTGTTTTTTTTTTTAAAAAAAAAAGCTTTACATAAATAAATGTTTGCAGAGTAATCCACATCGTTATCTCTTCTCCTCCAGCCCTCTCCAGATTTATGTAAATGCACAGTGAATTATAGCGTTTAATCTCTATAAAGGGACTCCACATCTAATTCCTATACTTGAAGTCCACTGATCTTCTGTTCCATACAGCTATAGACTCCTCAGTTAACTGCAAAAGTTCTCTCTCCAGTTAGTATCACTGTAGTAATGTTAAATTATTCACATATACATTTTTTCATTCCAAATAATGTATTTTTCTGCACCTGTATTAAAGTAGCACCTTAATTCTGCTTATACAGGATTCTATTTCAGAAATCTTAAGTGAGGAAAAAGTAGTGTTTGGAAACAGCACAAATTTAGATAAATTTTTGCCACACCGAAGGCAACAGCAAAAATTCTGCTGGCTTCAATAAGATTTGAAGTGAACTGGTCAGACTAATTCCAGCATTACAAATAATGAATCATAAATCATCAAAATGGTCAACATTTTGATCAATCAATAAAATGGTCAAGTCAACACTTTGGTTCATGTACCCTTCAGTAAGCTATCAAAGGAGCATATGAGCTTACTGCTGAAGGCAGTAATATTATGAGTTTCTCAAGTCTTGGCTGAAAAGGCATTTAAAGGGACATGTTTCTAGTATTCAGTTAATGTCCTTATATTTTAAAAGAGACTCTAGAGAGACTGCAGAAAAATAGACAGTTTGCATATTATATCTGATCTATTAAACATTGCAAGAAAATACAAAGTATAAAGGTGCTTAGGTTTTTGGAAAGGGAATGGGGGAAGTAATGACAACAACTGCTGTAATCCAAGAAGTAAAGGATTATACTTAATTTTTTTTTCCTGCAGGCAGTGTGAGATCATGCTTTTATGAAAGAAGCCTCACTGCCGCAAGGACTTTCAGAATTTGGAATAAGCTCACACTTCAGTTTTGATTTGTGATGAATGTTATTCATGTATTGGATGTTCTCTGCTGTGCTGTTTTCATCAATCCAATATGTCAAATTTTATAGATATCAAAAATCCATCCCAATCTGCTGAAACCAGAGAAAGGAAATACAAGTTGTGCTGAACACTCCTCCCTGGTGTGAGATAAAAAGTGATAAGCTGACTTTCATTGAAACTGTCATGTTTTCATCTGTTAGCTATCATTGATTTCACATTGGTAAACTGCATCAAACCTATCCCATAGCAAATTTAATATCAGTAATCCAAGAGATCGATGTATTCAAGATGTGGTCTAAGAACAAGGCAAGGAGTAAAACTTATATTTGTATCATTTTAATCTCTGCAATAATTAGAACAAGCTGAACAGGAAGAAGAAAAAAAGAGATAAATGCAGCAACTTCAGCAACTTTACCATCATCAACATGTCTCAATTTTAAAATAATAAAGAAAAGCACAGGGGATCCCCTTTGTACCTGAGTTAGCTGAGATCACCTCTGAACCACAACACACCAGCCATTTACCACCACCATCCAATACCACAGAACAGAATAACAGACATAAATATGCCATCTATTTGAAACTGCAGGAACTCTGTAAGCAGAGTGCTGTTATCTGAATTGGAATTTGACCAGGATGTTTACTTATGGATTTTAACAAAACAAATGCAGTATGCTGACTGAAAAAGAAGACATTTCCAAGGAACAGCATCATTCACGGCCGCCACTCATGGGTAAAGCTGGAGCTGCAAGAACAAAATGCCCCACAGCAGAACCACAGGGGTCTCTGCTCCGTTGCACAATGACAGCTGAAGGTCTGGAAAAAGCTGCTCTGGTTTGGAACTGGGCTACGGTTTTCCAGGTTGTGACAGAACTAACATCATTCAAGAGTTTGTAATATGAGACTTGAGCATTTTATTTTGTTTGGTAGCTGAACTTCTCTTGGGATATCGTATTCACAGTCAGGTCCCAAGTATAAGTGATACCAGCAAAATCCAAATCACCCAACATTGTACGGTATCTTCCTTAAGGCAAA